TAGAATCAGATTGTTGATATCCACACATGCTAAAAAACTGCTCAGATTTTCGTTGGGAATTAATTGAATGTATAAATCAATTTAGAAGACAAGTGACATCATGACATTGAATTTTCTAATCCATGCTCTTCATGTAGCCTTACATTTTACTTAAGAATTTAACAAATTAATTTATCTCAATAATTTTTCTACTTTTCTATAAAGGCTCTGCACACCTTTCATTACATTCATTCCTAGGATTTGAATTTAAAGGCTATTGTAAATAGCATTACATTTTATTATTTATTTATTGAAAGATTGGCACCTGAGCTAACATCTGTTGCCAATCTTTTTCTTCTTCTTCTTCTTCTTCTCCCCAAAGCCCCCCAGTACATAGTTGTATATTCTAGTTGTAGGTCCTTCTGGCTCTGCTGTGTGGGACGCCGCCTCAGCATGGCCTGACAAGTGGTGCTTTGTCTGTGCCCAGGATCCCAACTGGTGAAACCCCTGCCCACCAAAGCAGAGCGTGTGAGCTTAACCACTTGGCCATGGGGCTGGCCCCGGCATTAAATTTTAAAATTCTACGTATAATTATTGAGTGCTGATCTACTGATGTAGAATTGACCTTGTATCCAGTGATTTTGCTAAATTTACCTCTTAATTTTAATAGTTTATTTGTAGATTCTTGTATTTTCCACATATACAATCACATCATATGTGAATGAGAGCTTTGGAAGAGGCACATTTTATGTAGGAGGATGTGGAAAAATTGGAATGCTCATACATTACCAGTTGGAATATAAAATGGTGTGGCTGTTTCGCGCAAAAGTTGGCAATTCCTCAAAATATTAAAGATAGAGTTACCATATGGTCCAGCAATTCCACTCCTAGGTACATACCCCAGAGAATTGAAAGCATACATCTACACAAAAATTTGTATATGAATGTTTACAGCAACACTATTCATAATAACTAAAAATTTGAAACACCCCAAAAGTCCAACTGATGAGTGGGTAAATAAAATGTTGCGTAAATATACAATGAAGTACTTTTTATCAATTAACAGGAATGAAATACATGCTACAACATAGATGAAACTTGAAAACATTATGCTAAGTGAAAGAAGCCAGACAAAAAAGACCACATGTTGTATGAATCAATTTATATTTAATGTCCAGAACAGGCAAATCCATACAGAGAGAAAATAGATTAGTGGTTTCCTCGGGCTAGGGGTGTGTGTGGGCATGTTTCTTTGGAGGGTGATGAAAATTTTCTCAAATTAGATGTGGTGATGGCGGCACAACTCTGAATATTCTAAAAACCAGTGATTTATATCTCAGTAAAGATGTTTAAAAATTTTTATGTAGGACTTTGAAAGTTTAAAGAAGGAGTTAAAGACACACTAATGTTCTTTGGCATAATCTCTGAATTGGGGGATTTGGGGCAATTTTAATTTTTCTGTATACTTTTTTGGGTTTTTACAAAAACATGTATTTTTATAATAGGAAAAATCAAAAAGAATCAGTGTTACCAAGATGTAGAATCTCCTCCCCCTACCAACAGCAGCAACAACAACAAAACACAGAAAAAACAAGAACATGGTTTGAGGGAGAAATGAGTTGGCACCTGAGATCAAGATTATCTTATCTTGGGGCTGGCCCCGTGGCCGAGTGGCTAAGGTCACGTGCTCCGCTGCCGGTGGCCCAGTGTTTTGTTGGTTCGAATCCTGGGTGCGGACATGGCACTGCTCATCAAACCACGCTGAGGCAGCGTCCCACATGCCACAACTAGAAGGACCCACAACGAGGAATATACAACTATGTACCGGGGGGCTTTGGGGAGAAAAAGGAAAAAAATAAAATCTTTAAAAAATAAAAATAAAAAAAATAAATAAAAGAAAAAGATTGTCTTAACTCTGGATGACTTGGCTTAAAACAGAGGAGTTAAATGATGGTAAACAGTTGCTAAGGAAGTGGAGGGCATTGGTGGGAAGAAAATACTAAGGCACGTGCTTGGGATTTTCACAGAATTCACACGAGCAAAATATTACACAAGAAAAACAATTTTTGCATCCATGGCCAGAATAAACTGAAAGCTATTAAACTCAAAGCTAGTTAGAAAGTAGCTAATATGGTTTTGAAGTGGTTAATACCTTGATCAGGATGTTAAGTGAGAAAAAAGTGAAAAGGTGACTCAAAATGTTTCAATGGGAAAATCAGCAGGAAATAGAGAGAGAAGCCTAATTAGAATTAAAGATGATACCAAGATTGTACATATAAAAGGACAGAGGCTTTCTTGATGCCAGATAAATTGACCATGGGACAATTTTGTTGGAAAAGCCATGAATGTGATGATATACAAAGGCTATTACCATTATTTAGAATCAGGATTCCAACGTTTAAATTCCAACTCCACTATTTCTTGCTGTCTTTTTGTCAAAATACTTAACCTCTTCGAGCTTTGGGTTCCTTTATTTTTAAAATGGAAATATCAATACTTACTTCACAGCATTGTTTTAAGGTTTGAATCAGAAAGTACACAAAAACATTTAGCATAATGCCTGGGACATATATCCGAAAAATGTTTCAAAAGATACCATACTACCATTGGGGGAAACTGGGTGAAGAGTACACTGGACCTCCCTGTACATGTTTTGCAACTTCCTGTACAATTTTTCCAACTTCCTGTGAATCTGTAATTATTTAAAAAAAGTTAAAAAATGTATTAGCTATCTAGCGTATGAATTATATTGTGTCATTGTGCTAATATTTTTCTTCCTAAATGAAGGAATCGAGGACCAGGAATACAAGCAATTTTGTTATGAGTTACACAGAGGTGAAATTAGACTGAAAGCAATTACTCTTGAATCATAGAACCATAGGCCAGTGGCAGTGTGAAAGGACCTTGGAATCAAGACACAGTCTAATGGTTTAATCACTAGGTTATCTGGGTTTGAATATGTGATTTGCTTATGGCTTTTTCCTGGTTCAACTTGACTCATCCATTCAGATTCAGAATAATAAACGTTTCCTCAGTACAAACTCTGCCAGACGTTGGGGTAGGCTATTCCACCTTGCTTTAAATGTGATTGTAACTAATGCTTTCTGCTTTTTAAGAGAAAGGCATAAAGAAAATTAACATTGCCATTTTAATCCATTTAACGCTCACTATGTTCACATTGTAGTTTTTCTAATGAAGTTAAAATGCACAGAACAAATTGTATAGGATGTGGTGGAATAACTTGGCTGGAATAAGTACAAAATTTCTCAGTGGAGAATCCTTTTGGCTCCACTAATCTGGAGCACTGTGAAAAGCACTGGTGGATAAGAAACAGAGGGTTTATTTTCCTTTATGCCCGGTGTACAGTGGTGGTTCTCACACCATGCACTGTTCCGTTCTGAACAAGCCTATGCTAAGAAACTTGCAGCCGCGGCCAGCTGTGGAACAGAGCTCATGTTCTGTTGCACCCTATGGGCAGCCTTCAACTCTTTTCAGTGGAGAAAAACCAGCCTGAATAGGGATAACTCTGGAAGGGGCTCAGTTTGTAGCTATTTTTCCCTCCATTCTTTCATTCATTCTCTGTTTTCTTTTTTTCCTAGGATGGTGTGAGTAAATGTATCCTTAGCTGATGTGAATAAAAAGAGATCCAGTGTCTTTGAAAAACAAAACTAAACTAGAAAGACCTAGGAAAGTCTAAGATTTCACATTCTGGAATGTCATCTTGACATGGAGCTTTAAAAGGGGCTAGAAGAAGTATAGAAAGGAGAGAAGAAAAATTTTAACAAATATTTACCTTTATACAACTTACCAAAATATGTATAGCAGCCTTTAGGTAAGAAATTGGCAAGTAATTAAAAAAAATAAAAGAGTAAAATATTTCTTTTTTCTTTTAATGATTGGCACCTGAGCTAACAACTGTTGCCAATCTTTTTTTTTCCCTGCTTTTTCTCCCCAAATCCTCCCAGTATACAGTTGTATATATATATTTTTTAGTTGTGGGTCCTTCTAGTTGTGGCATGTGGCACACCACCTCAACATGGCCTGATGAGCAGTGCCATGTCCGGCCAGGATCCGAACCGGCAAAACCCCAGGCCGGCGAAGCCAAGCGCACGAACTCAACCACTTGGCCACGGGGCCGGCCCCATATTTGTTCTTTTTACTTGAGAATGGCAGTCTGTGAGGGACATCTCATCAACCTGGCTCAAAAAAACACAGAGGTGAGTGAAAACAAAAGTTAAAAATTTGTTTAAAAAGCATTTTTATCATATTTCTACATTTTCAGATTGATTCATTTTTCATTATTCAAAACACTAACTAACAGATCTGCCTTTTATATACTTTCAGCTTCAGGAATGATCATTCTGAAGAAAAAAGTAAATGGTTCAATTACTCATACAAAACTTAATAAATGTGATAGCATCAGGCAATGCCAGGTCAGTTTTTTGTTTATTAGCAATATTTTCCCCTTGATATTTATCACGTACATTTGTGTTTGAAGAGCCAAATCCATCAGTTTCCACAGCTCCTTGGCTACTAATAAAAATTTTCACTATCATTTGGAAGACAACTTACTCTGAAAAATTCAGGTCTTAGTAGCCACATAATTGGATAATACTTTTTTTTTTTGAGGAAGATTAGCCCTGAGCTAACATCTGCTGCCAATCGTCCTTTTTTTCGATGAGGAAGACTGGTCCTGAGCTAACATCCGTGCCCACCTTCCTCTACTTTACATGTGGGACGCCTACCACAGCATGTCTTGTCAAGCAGTGCCATGTCTGCACCCGGGATCTGAACGGCCGAATCCTGGGCCACTGAAGCAGAATGTGCACTTAACTGCTGCGCCACTGGGCCAGCCCTGGATAATACTTTTTAAAAGACTGACTTATAACACTCTATTTTACAGATTTCAGTGGCAGAGCAGGTTGAGAATTCAGACTTTGTGTTGTGTTCTGACCACTAGACAATACACAGCTTCTAGCATCCAGAGGGTACATCATAAGTGAAACCAGGGTAAGGATACATAGGATAATGATTGCTATTCTTTGTTGAAATATCATTTTTTATAAGGAGGGAACAGAGTTCATTTTATAGAGTCAATACTGGTTTAAAAACCATTTACCATATCTTTGAGAAAGGAGAGAGAGAAAATCAAATGTCAAAAAACAGGTACTCGAGCTGAACCATGAATAAAGCAAGATATCCTCACTGAAATGTCTAAACACCGTACTGCCTAGAGGGACCTGCTGTAACGTGTAATGCAGGTAAGATAACCAAAGGCACAGCTCTTGAACTATACGGACAAAACTACACAGACCCTCCTCCTTTGCTGCCTTCCCAGAGAAGAGGGAGATAAAACCCACTGAGGCCTAGCTACCAAAGGCAGAGTGAGCCATTCCACATCCCAGGCTAGCATTTGGTACATAAGCTCTACTTTATCACGAGCACTGAGAATTCTAAGTCTGACTTACTGGGTAAATCAACCAGATAGCTTTCTTTGTCTTTCTATGTCCAGTGGCTGAGGCATGGTTGGCACGCTGTAGCTTTTGCGTTGTTGCAAGATCATCATTTAGTGTCAAGAGGCAAATCCTCTTCACTCTTCCTTCCTCCCACAATTGCTGAAGGGTAGGCATCAACAAGACGAGTATCTCAGACAAGCAAAACTGTGGGGAGTGAGTCAGTTGGGACTGGTTTCTGTTCACAGTTTGCGAATTTCTGATTCCGTGTATGTCTAGAGCTAGCGTCAGCTGAATTCACCTAAGGGCATTCTGCTAAGGGAAGGAGGGAAATACCACATGACAGTTTGACCCATAGTTTTAGTTATTCAATATTTGAGAAAATTAGACACCCCCCGGCGTTATAGATTCCATTCCAATTATTATTACTCTAAGAAATGTAATATGTACACATCATACAATACGCGTTCCATCTCATGATATCTGAGAGGGCAGTTTTTGGAACGGCTATGTAGAACCTATATTATTACACAAAATTATGAATTTTAGAGGATCCAGTTTCTTAGACTATTCTTCAAAGGCATTACACGCCAGTATAGTGTCCTTGGTTATGACTACAACCAGAAAGGACAAGCTAATTACCAATTTCGAATTCCCTCTCCCAGCCAAGAGACCAGACCGCCAGGGCGGCACGCCCCGACGAGCCCTGGTGTGTTCTCCACCTCAGCAGATCACCCCTGCGGAGGCCTCGGGTGCGGCTGGAGGTGAAGGGGAGTCACCCAGACAGGACGGCGTGAGCCGGGGTCGGAACACCGGGCCGGGGCCCCGCTCTGCACTTGGAAGCTGGTGCTGATCACCTACCACCTGTAAAAAATGGGAATAAGAAAGCGATACAGAGGTCAGTTGAGCACCTCAAATGCTACCAAGATTATTTAAACACCAAAAACTAATCACAGACACCCTTCGTCAAGTACCTCCTAGAGATCAAGTACTGTGCAGGGTTCCTTCATTCCCCACTAACCTCAACAATCCTGAAAGGCAGGTACCGTCCTTCACCTGACGAACGGGTCCCCCGCCCAGGTGCACGGCAGCATCGAGACCGCGGCCAGGCCGGCCCACGCCCGCGCGGGAGCGCTCGGCGTCCGCTCAGCTCGGCACTGGCAGGCCTTGGAGGCAACGACCCGAGCCTGAGGCCGGAACGGGCCGCGTGTGAAAGCGGGCCGAACGCAGGGCTGCGGCTCGACGACCGCGCCGCCGCCCGGGCTTTGTCACCAGCCGCTTCGCGAGGGCCCGGCGCGCGGGGAGGCGGCGCTTCCTCCCCGGAGGGTGGGCCCCCGGGCCGCCGCCGCCTCGGACCGCCGCCGCCGTACGTGCAGCCTGGGGAGGGGGCGCGGGGCGAGGCCGGTGACCCAATAAAGCGGCGGGCCGCGAGCCCCGCCCGCCCGGCGCCGGGCACACGCCGAGGGGCCCGGCGGGCTGCAGCCAGCGCGCCCCCGTCCGCGGCGCTCGGCGTGAGGGCCCTCCGGCCGAGGCTGTGAGCGCGCGCCGCCGGGCCGGGCCGGGCCGGGAGCGCGGGAGCGAGGCTGAGGAGCAGGCGCCCGCCGCCCCCGAGCCGCGCGGAGCGGCCGGCGAGGCGGGGCGAGGCCGGGGCCCGCGGCGCCCGCCCGCCCCCGGCGTCCGGGAGCGGCTCCCGCGCGGCCAGGCCTGGGCCCTCGGCCCGCCCCGCGCGCGCCCCCGCGGCCCGGCCTCCTCCCCGCCGCCCCTCCCGCGCGCGTCCACCGGCTCCCCGGCTCGCGCCGCTCCATGTAGCCCCGGATCCCCGGCGGCCGCGGAGGAGGGGGCGACCACAAGATGGCGGGTACGTGCCCCTGCTCTCCGGCGGCGGCCGCCGCCCCGAGGGGCGGCCCGGCCGAGGCCAGCGCGGGGTCCCGGCGCGGGGAGGGAGGGCGGGCGGCGGGGCGGGGCGCGGCTCCGGGGCGCTGACCCGGCCTTTCTTCTCTCCCCTCGGCGCAGACCTCTCGCTGCTCCAGGAGGATCTGCAGGAGGACGCGGACGGATGTGAGTGCTCCCGCCGCGCCGTCGCCGTCACCGGCGGCCCCGGGAGCGACCGGGGAGGAGGGCGGGCGGCGGCGGCCTGAGGCCCAGCCGGGGGCCGGGCTGGCGAGGCGTGGCCGGGGGCCGGCCGGGGGCGATTTTGAGGGGAAATCGCGCTTCCTGGAGGGAACGGCGTGGCCAGGTCCCGCTGCGGGAGAGGCGCCCTGCGTAATGCCGGGCTCGGGCTCTGCCCCTCGCCCGCCGCCCGCATCCCGCGGCATCTCTGTGGGCTCGGGAGCTGCCCGGCGCCCTTGTGAGGAAGGAACTGGTGGGCAGAAATTTGAAATGGGGATTTGGGGTGTGTTTTTCCCTTCGAGCGCCTTCCGCGGACCGCCCGCCCTCCCCCGAGGAAGGAAGAGGCCCTGAGGAGGGCAGGTGTGCTTCTGAGGGTTGCTCCCCGGCGGCCGGCTGCGGGGCCCGGTCCCTGCGAGCCCGCGGGCCGGCCGCCCCGTTTCTGGCCGTGTGGACGTGACTGCCTGTGATTTCACTGTAGCTCTTAGCAGCCTCTACCTGTCCCCAGTCCAGCTGATTTGTGGATTACAGGAAGGTAAGAAGGTGTGGCTTTGGCGGGAGTTAACTAGATTTAGAGAGCGTAATTCTTGAATGCAGATGTTCATAAACCACCCAGACTTCCGTAGATATTAAGATTTCAGCTTTTCTTGGAGATATTGACATTTTAAAAGTTGATTTTTTTGTTTTAAAAAAACCAAACTTTGACATTGTTTCCAGAATATTTTCAGAAAGGAATTGTTCTTTTCGTATGTGCTTTTCTGAGCATCAGAGGATAATTTGGAAATGGTCTGAGTTGAAATGATACCCATGGTAGACTTTGTGGTGTGTTTAGGAGAAGGCCTGCCTGATGCTGAGGTTCGCTGTGGCCAGTGCCTGTGTAAGTAATTCAGAGATGGCTACAGTTTGAAATCGCTCTTTTGAAAACTGTGTCCTTAATCCTTAGCATTGTCTGATGTGGTTTCCCTTGCCCAAATTAAGCTTAATTTTTAAATTTCTGGGTGTTTTGAGTGAAGTAAGGAGAATTGTATTATTTAGAAGGATTCTCTAAAAAGGGTAGTAATTTTTAAAGTGAATGAACCATATACAAATTTATCTTTTTTAAATCCTGATTTTTTTTTTTTAAAGTAAAAAGCTCTCATTTGGGGATCAGTACTCGTGGTGAAGGATAAGTTTTACATTTCGTTTGATGTTTTACTTTAGGCCACTTACTTGCCTACTAGTAAGTTTAAAAAGTTGGTTAAGGCACCTATTGATTTCTTGAAAAGTTAGGCTTGGAGAGGTGGCTCTGATGGTTATCTTGAGACGGGGCTTCTCGTTCTTGTATTTAGGGTCAAGTCTCTGGGAAAAGAAGATACATTCATTCAGCAGGTGTTTAGGAATGTCCAGAACAAGATCTTCTGCATTTTTCTTTATTTCACTTTATTTATCTTATTTCACTTTATTTGTTTGTACTCTTAGGGATGAGCCATAATGTCAGTTCCGTCGTTGACCTTTAAGGAGCTTAGTCTAGAGGGGAGGGCATACCTGCGAAGAGCTCAACAGTGATTCCTTCAGGAGCCTAAAGACTTCTGCTCAGTACTCATGGTATAGCTGTGGGAAGACTGGTCACAGTCTGTGCCCTCTAGTGGTTTACAAGCAGTTTTAGTGTAAGTGTAATAATGATGGTATCAGAGGCAGTATAGCACAGTAATTAATAGACAAGACTCTAGAGCCAGACTGCTTTATTCCAGTCTTGGCATTGTCACTTTGGACAGACTCCTGCAACTCACTTAACCGTTTTGTGGCTAAGTTTTGTCATTTGTAAATAGGCGTGATAAGTATTACCTACCTTGTAGAATTTAGAGCCTTGCATGAATTAAGGCATATAAAGCACTTAGGACCTGGTAAAAGGTGACTGTTATGTGTTGGTTATTGTTGTTAAGAGTAAAGAGTAAGGGAAGGTTAAAGAACAGAGAAGGAAATACTGATGTTGAACATTACCCTACAGAATTAATTCAGTTACAGATGCTGCTAATGCTTGTAATTTTTTAAAGGTTCTTTTAGTTCCCACTGTGTTTTAATTTGGAATAAAGTTTTAGACATTTGAAGGCACAAATAGTTTATTTGCATATTTATAATTTGGTTGAAGATTTTATTAGAATAATTGCTTATTGTTCTCAGTTGTTAAAGTTTTTACAGGCGATATCTTTACCCAGAATATTCAGGAACAAGGAATCTTTGAACATATGGCCAGTCAAAGGACCACTTGTAGTCTCCTGTGAAGGGAGAAAGAATTGAGAGGAAAATGGCCATAGTGCCTAGGTCGAGGGCAAGATGGTTGGTAAGGGAGTGAAAAAGCTTGTCACATCCTGGAGAAGCTGGAGAAGGTAGAGGACCAGAGATGTTAGAGAGATGGAGTTTGGGCTGCTCTTACAACTAGACCACATCTTCTGAGCCCAGTTTTCTGCCTCAGGCAGCACTGGTGTGGAGACGAGCCTCTGGAGTAGTAGTGCACCAGGTCCTGCCACTTCAGCCAAGCTGGGTCTCAGGTGGCCCTTAGATTGGAAGGAACTATTTTCTGGTGAAACCCTAGAAGCTTGGTTGCTTTCCTAAATGGAGAGCCTAGACTGAGACAGAGAGTAAATACTATTGTGCAGGTAATTTGTAGCTGTGGAGACTAGGAGAGGACCTGATGGGGTCTAGATCTTGCAAGGGGGACACTGCCAGACCTTAATAAGCTGTCAGGTCTTTTGATTTGTTTTGTTTTCAGCCCCAAAGTCTCTGTGTAGTGAGTAGAATAGTGGGTAGAATCGGCAAAAGGGTTGGAGAAAAAGAAACAAAATCCTATATGTGAAAAATGGTGCCTATCAAAAGGTCAGAAAGGTAAGTAAATAAAGTCATTACTATTAGGTATTGTTAAAATTAAGTTTAAGAAAATAATGCAGTGAAAAACTATAAGTTTATTTTAGTTTAAAAGTGATACTTTCAATACTGTGTCATGAACATACTTTGAATTTCAAAGTGAAAGCAAGGCAGTGAGTCACTTAGAATTAGATATCTCAGCAGAGTGACTTCAGAGTTAGGTAAACCCTTTCTGTTCCTTGAATAGTGGGAGGCAATGCAGAATTACAGACAGACTTTCAGAGAAAGATATATTAAATTTCTATTGTCCGTGTCCCAAAGATACAATTTTGATTGACATCTAAGTTGCTAGATTTTTAAAATACAGTAAGAGTTGATGAGTTAATGCTTTTAAAAATAATTTAACTGAAGGAGTTTGATTAAAATTTAAGTTTTTATCAAAGTAATTCATTGAAGAATATTATTTCAGAAGAATGATTACGTAACAGTTAATAGTTTACAGTAGCTTTCATACACAGATTATTCTTCATAACAGTCCTGTGATGTGTAGGCTGTGGTAATCTGATATCAATAAGGCAACTGATGCACAAAGGGACTAAATTATTTTCTCAGGAAACAGAACTCCTAGGTAGCAGCCAGAATTTTGAGCAAGGCCCTGTGATTCTAAATACTGTATTTTAAACATTGTCTTTTCTTAAATTGCCCAGTTTACAACATGGAGCAGCCCAAGGTTGTTGAATAGGCAGTTAGTTTGAACCCATGCTTAAAGTAGTCTTGAAGATTAATCTAACATGCTGCATATGGTGTAATTTAACCCAGAGAGAGAGAGAATTAGAACGAAGCTTGGGTGTGATCCGGCTGCTTGAGTCTGTATGGGAACTTTTCCTTTGGCTGTAACTGGCATGGCTTGGAAGAGCTTTTGGAGCTTTGTTATGGAATGTGCCATACCCCAGAATTTTTCATATTTGTTGAAGTTTTGGAATCCTTTTACTCTATATTGTTTTTCAGGTTTGAGAGCAGTATTGAAATAGAGTGAATTAACAATGGATCCAGAACTAATTGGGTGTAACTGCCTTGACTAGAGACTCAGGGCCCTCCAACTACTCTTGAAAACTAGTTTTGATAAGCTTCTTAAAGTCCTTGCCACCTGGGGAGGTGAGAAGTAAAAAAATGGGGGCTGTGTCCAGTGGCAGCCAGGCAATCAGTCAGAAACCCTAGCTAGGGGCCGGCCTGGTGGCGCAGTGGTTAAGTTCGCACATTCTGCTTCTCGGCGGCCCGGGGTTCGCCGGTTTGGATCTCAGGTGCAGACATGGCACCGCTTGGCAAGCCATGCTGTGGTAGGTGTCCCACGTATAAAGCAGAGAAAGATGGGCATGGATGTTAGTTCAGGGCCAGTCTTCCTCAGCAAAAAGTGGAGGACTGGCAGTAGTTAGCTCAGGGCTAATCTTCCTCAAAAAAAAAAAAGAAAAAGAAAAAGAAAACAAACCCTAGCTAGGGGCCAGCCCTGTGGCCAAGTGATTAAGTTTGCACGCTCTGCTTTGGCGGCCCAGGGTTTCATCGGTTCAGATCCTGGGCGTAGACATGGCACGGCTCATCAGGCCATGCTGAGGTGGTGTCCCACATGCCACAACTAGAAGGACCCACAACTAAAATATGCAACTATGTACCCAGGGGATTTGGGGAGAAAAAGAAAAACAAGAAAAGATTGGCAACAGTTGTTAGCCGAGGTGCCAATCTTTAAAAAAAAGAAAGAAAGAAAGAAAGAAACCCTAGCAAGGTGCCCTTGGAAGTCATGACATTTAGAAGTGTTGTTAAATAGGGATTTGGAAAAGAATGAGTCATGAGACTTGGTAGCGTGTTTTGATTGCTACCCACAAGAATGGACAGGAGAAATCTTTGTTTAGAGATAATATAATTTATATCCTAGAAAAGAGTGCTTAAAAGTGGTTTTCATGGTATCCGCATGTGTACGGAATGAGTCAATGATGCTTTGGGTAACAATTCCCTGTACAGAATTTTTTTAAAAAAGACAGACAAAGGGAGAAAACCCTTTGTAAATATGCATATCAGCTGCCTGGGCTTGTAGGTGCACGGCCAAAAAAAACCCCACCTAAATGCTGCATAGGTTTTTGTTTATTCTTCCTTCCTGTGAAAGATAAATAGCCCTTGCTAGGTAAAGTGTGCTAGTCTCCCAACTTGTTCAATCACTAGTTTATTATTTCTGGTCCTTTTGCCTCAGTTCTTCCTCTCATCACAACACAATTTATGTTTGTTTATTAATCTATTCTTGCTTGACTCCTACGTTTGCCTTGTATTTTGGATTTTTCTCTCCTGATGGCAAAGAATTTTTGCCATCGGCTGCATGATAGTGTGGGCAGTCTCTCAACTTATTAGGGCAGTCTCTCAACAGTTAGGGTGTTG